GCGGGCGTCCCCGGCGTGGCTCCGCGGCCCGTCTCGACCGCTGCGCTGCTCGCCCTGGGCCCGGCCGGCCCTGCGTCGGGCCTCAGCGAGTGCGGCGCCCGCCGCCCCCGGCCCCCATCCCGCCGGCCCCCTCTATATTATTTCTAATAATTGTCTGACAACTGAGACATAAAGAATGTGGCCACAGAGCAATAAGCCAAACGGAAAACTACTTTCTTTCTACATACAAGCATGACTTCTAGAACTACCAGTTTTTGACTCTGATAGAAGATGAAGGCAGCTCACTTTAGGCGTACATATCAAGGATGTCTTGAAAGACTCTTTAGTATAGTATAAGGTTTTATTTTAACTAGCTGAACAGCAATTAATATCTGATTTTTTTTTTCTTGTCAGGACCGAAAGAGGCAATATGAGCTGCTCAAACTTGAAAGAAACTTCCAAAAACAGTCCAATGTGCTTAGACGTAAAACTGAGGAGGTAAGAAAATTCAGTCTGCTAGTCAAGTGTGTTATCATCTTCAGTCTTAGTTACTGATAAAGTCATAGCCCATAAATGAGCAATTGTCCTGAGAAACTGTGGACACCAGTCTTGACCAGGAATTCCTAAATTTTGATCCCTGTTTATATGCCATGAACTGTGAACACGTAAAAACCTGATGAAAATTGGTACTATTCAAATAAAGACTTTTTTCTAGTTGGACTTGAATATTTTTCAAAAAACACAGAATAATATTGATATGTAACATTTTCAGACATTTTTGGTCTGCAGAACTCCCTTGAAATGTATTCCTTTCTCCCCCAGACTCCAAAGCAGTAGCTATTCATCAGTACTGTGTCCATGGTGATTTATAAATGATTCCTATGAAAAAGTCCGTAGACTTTTTCTTTTTCTTTTTCTTTTTTTTTTTTTTTGAGTTGGAGTCTCACTCTGTCCCCCAGACTGGAGTGCAGTGGCCCCTCCTGGCCCCCGCAGCCTCGACCTGCTGGGCTCCAGCAATCCTTCCACCTCAGCCTTCCAAGTAGCTGGAACTACAGG